TGCCTGCTGCTCCAGCCCGCGTGGGAGGTCGCCGTTCTTATAAGCCAAAAGGCTGTTCAGTGTATACTGCGCAGGTGAGATTCGGACAAAAGTGCCATCGCCGACAGTAGCCATGTCATATGGCCTGTGAATCCGCCAAACTGGCTTTATCCCCATCCAGCTTGACGGTGCGAGAAAGTTCAAGCGTTGCTTTCTGCATTATGCTAACAGCAAACCGTGATGCTTTATCCCTGGTCGTTTGAGCCTAGCGGCTGAGGTTCGATTGCATCCTAGAAAGGGGACGCGACGTGGACGACGTCAGATGAGCGAGAGAGGCCACGGAGCCAGGGTAAGGAGAAGGGAGGGGGGTGAGGAGAACGACGACAGATGCGACTGACACTTAGGCTCATCTGCACCGCATGGCGCATCAACTCGTTGGTCTGGACAGTCCTCGAACGCTCGGGGGCTGGATAAGCATGGCATGCCATAGCATATGCAGGGTGAGCCCAAGAGGGCCGCTCGCATGGCATCACATAGCGTGCCAGTTGCCACCCGATGCCATTCGCTTCGCCGTTGGCTGTCTTCGCAGGCCCCTTGCAATATATTCGGACGGCCTCACTGAAGTGAGCATGCACCCTATATTCTCTCGTTCTCGGTCTCTCGCACTCTCTGTGGCATCCCCCTCATAATCACCCCCCCTGCCCCCCCCCCCCCTGGTTCGGCGCCGCCCTGAACGCAAAGACGTTGCTGAGGGAAGACATGTCCAATGAGGGCAACGGTGGGAGCGCACGGGCTTGAGGGAATGTATGATGCGGACGGTTGCATGCCAAAGGACTGTGGGCGACCAGTCAGGATCATATTAGCAAATGCTGACCTCCCGCCGCATCTCGCCCCACACCCGCCATGTTTTCTCTGCCGGTGCAAGTGCGACTGTCCACAAAGACTGCGTCAACTGTCTGATAAGCGCATGGCTGGTAAACCCGTTCGCACGCAAAAGATATGTGTCCGACATCAAAGCTTCGTGCTAGCCGACGGGGCAACAGCTCGACCTCCACCCTCACCCTCGCTCCTCCTTGCTCTCCCCTGCTACTGCGCGGCAGCATATGACTATAGCACTGCAGAGTGCTGGGATGCCCTGGGCTCGAGCTCGAGAGGTTACAAAAGTGCGATGCAAAACACACCCCTCTGCAGACTAGCACCCGTGGCTGATGGATGCGGTTCAAGCCCTCTTCTGCTTCTTGACGGCCTGCTCATGGATTGGCACCTCCTTAGCCTTGGGCTTGGCGAGCATCTGGAGCTTCACATTGGGCCCGATGTCGGTCGTGTTGGTCAGCACTGGCAACGGTAAGCCACCGTGTGACACGTGGCTCGTAGCCATGTTGGCTTGCTTTTTGTCGTCGGTTGGCGCGACCCACCAGTGTGAAGCCACCAATGCGGCTTCATCGAACTGGATGCTGGTGTCATTGTCTTGCGGTTTAGATACAGGCAACACAAACAGTGAACCTTGGTGTCTTTGTCAACCGCATGCTCGCCAAGTGAAATGCCAGACCCATTGTTCTTCGCACTTATGTTGATGAGTGGTGCCACTGGGACCAAAGTAAGCTGGCCCTGCTTGATCGCGCTAGTAGTCCACACCCCATCTGGCTTCCGCCAGAACGTCAGCTTATGCTTGCCCACGTGCTTGGCATCTCGCTCAAGGAGAGCTCGGTACAACGCAGCCTTCTGCTTGTCGATGTACAGCTGCTGCGGGCGCTGCTGATCACCATCCATCTGTTTTGACAAAGCAGCCTTAGAGATTGACCACTTCTGAAGAATATCCTCACATGTAATATCAGCCGTGTGTGCCTCTCGGCTCGCGTCGTGGTTAATAGCTTCGCGAAGCTTGACAGTCTGGCCGATGCTGAAGATAGTGTAAAGCCTCTGGGCTGCAACGTCCTTCTGGACTACTAGACACCCGACCGAATACCCAGCCTTCTTGGCAATCCATGTCGGGCCCTTATGGTCGCTGAGCGTCGCCGTGCTGGATGCACTCGGCTTCGCTTTGGCGGCGGCTGCAGCGCCGCTCGAGACCGCGTGCTTAAGACCACTCGTCGAAAGTTACCGTCTGGCCCCTGAAGTCGCTGACATATGTCGCCCCACATAAGCTCCTTGCCCTCCCGACCCATCTTCTCCTTACCTGTGAGCTTCAACGCAATCCTCACGAATAGCTGCCCTAACGGCTGCAACGCCGCATCGATGCCATCAAGCCCCCTGGCGATATCCATGGCTTCGCCAAGAATGCTTTCAGCAGTAGTTGCTTCAGCCATCTTAGGCTTGCTAGCAACCTTCGCGACGTCATTCTTCACAATCAAGCGCGCCACGCCGACCTCAACCTTGTCGCCCGTGAGGTTTGCAATTGCAAGTGCCACCCGAGTCAAAGGATACACGTTGGTTTTCGATGCGAAAGCTGCGTTCGCAATCGATTCCAAGAAAGCTTGCCCCAACGTAGCGTTGCAACCAAATTGCTTTGCAACCGAGTCCATGAACGACACGAGAGCAGCGCCATCGCCACCGCCGAAATTCTCAACAAACTCAAGCAATGTCTTGCTGTACTTTGCGCTCGGTATGTTGAGCGAAACTACGTTCTCGATGGCCATGGTTTTCCAATCCGCAACCTGGCGCATCCCTGGGTCATTAGCAATCGCCGCCAACGTCGTGCAGGTCTCCAGCTCCCCGGCCTCCGTGCCGATGTGGTTCTGAGTGTTTAAAGCCTTCTGGGCTACTGCAGCGAAACCTGGGAACAGCTCGTCAATGATACTTGGGACCACCTCCCACGCCCAGCCTTTCTCGATCATGGCTTTGAATTGCGCATTCTGGGACAACTTCTGCACGTCAATCGTACCTGAATCAGTCATCTGCAATGACTTCTCCGACGCCCTGCCCTGCGCCCCTGCCAACTTGCAGAAAGCCGTGGTGTGTCCACACCCGACTGTAACGTACCGCTCGGAGCCATTAACTGGCGCTAGAAGCCCATCGGCTCTGTCCACCAGCGCCGTGTTCTTAGCAACGTGCTGCCAGCGGACGGGCGAATTGACTCCAAGCTCGATGCACACGGCATTTGATAGCTGGCGCATGTCGGCACCAGCTGCATGGATCCGAGCAGCATTGCGATGCACATTGTGCGGGCTCAGAAGAAGCCCTCCACGGTTCGCACTGTGTGCGAGAAAAAATTCGGCTCGATGCTGTTCACGGTGTACGCCAACTTGTGTGCCCGAAGGCAGGCCATCAGCATATCCATATACTCGTTCGCCTTCATCTTTTTCAAATTCAAAATATTCTGGAACTCAGGTTTGAAAGCTCCCGTAAGCTGAGACATAGCTGAAGAAAGCTGCTGGCAACTATAGCGAATGCTTTAAGCCGAAAATTCTGCAACTACGGATGGTAGAATGCAACTGCACAATCACAAAATATGTCTCGAAATCGTCGTGTCCGATGCTCATACCTCTTATCCACAATTCAATGTTGAATATCTGCTCTGCATGCTGATGTTGAGTTCTCCGAACTGTCCCTGGGTAAAGCTCACCAAGTTTTTCAGAGCTTGTTCACCGACAAATGGGTTCGGACATGTTCTTTGGATTCCCAACATGAGCTGGGTTTGCAAAGGGAGCTATATTTGGTTGGCAACGGGAGCTATGTTTGGTTCGAACAAATTTCAACGTTTGGTTTGCAACGGGAGATATGCTGAAACGTGGAGATATGTTCATGTTGGGCCTTTTGAGAAAAACGAAGTCAACATTTTTCTGAACAAAGAGTTTCTCACGTTAGCCTATTATGAACATCATGTTAGCCTATTCGAAAATTTATGTTAGCTTAACATATTTTTTGAACTTCGAATTTTCAATCAAAAACCATGCTAAACTAACATAAGCAGTTATGTTAACATGTGATAACTGAGTTATCAAATTTATCATAGTTGTCCAACATAAACCATAAACTATTTAGCAACCGATAAACCTTTTATACAGTTTATGTTGAATTAATAAAAACCATGCTGGTTGTAGCTAACTATGACAAACAAGCTTACTAGCTACAGCAGCTTGTTGCTGCTTTGTGAGAGGGTTGTATGAACGTTGTAACAACCTTAGCAACTCGCTATAAATCTCATAAGCCTTAACAAAGCCGACATTCATCTCAGCAGCTCCCCAACCCGCGTCGTGCCGTTGACGGACACAGGGGGCGCGCAGAGGGCCCCCGGGGACCGAGCAACAATGGAAATATAATAACACTAATAAGAATACTACTACTACGACTACGACTACGACTACGACTACTACTACTACTACTACTACTACTACTACTACTACTACTACTACTACTACTACTACTACTAATCATAATTATGATTATAAATTATAAAAAATAAAATATTAATAATAACGAAGATAATAGTAATACGATTGATACGAAGAAGAACAGCAACAGGGTCCAAGGCACGTGGCCCTCTCGGAGCAAGGCAAGTCGAGACATCGGCAGCCCAACCTCCTAGTGCCTGGACACCCTCCCGGGGTCCAGACGCACCAAGGCGTGCCGAGTTGTGTCCGGCCGTGGTGGCGATGGAGTGCCCCGAAGGCAACCTGGCGTTGCCTCGACTCGCCCTCCTTCAAAACAGGCGCGCTCCACCACTCGCAAAACATCTACACCCTGCGAAATGCTTAAGAAATCATGGGTTAAGAATTCATAACCTCAGAACTTGGAAAAAACCCAAAATGTCTATTCAAATCTTAGGACTTAAATTGAAACATGAAGAATAATCGAGACTCTGGCAGAAAATTTAAGTTTTCTTAAGCATCGCCTAAGGTATACTCGCAAATGGCCTGGATCCGCCGAGGGGGGGGGATTCACGATCCATATTACATCGAGGCGAGCACTTGTGTTCCGGACGTTTGCAAATACTTAGGCCTTTTGCGAATGGGGGAACGCGCTCGGTGATCCCGGAACTCTTCATGGCGAGGTGTGGCGGGGCTTGCCGCAGGCAGCTGGACACCACGAACACATCCAAAGCCACGCCGCTCTCCACGCAGACCCGCTCCTGGGGAAACCAAGAGGTATCGATACCGCTGCTTCCTGGACCTCTCCCAGGGTGCGTTCTCACAAAGACTTCGAGGCGAATCCAGCGGTGGCGACGACGGCCTCCCAGCAGGCCCCAAAACGGGAACACGGGCGGAGGGTAGCGATATCGGGCCTTTCCCTCCTCTGAGGTCCATGGCACGCCGCACGGCCTCGGCGACCCACGACATGTCGTTGTCGGTGGCGCCGGCCCCGAGCGTCGTCAGGAAGAGCCGGCGCGACCCGGCCGCCCCCTTGTGGAAGGCGGCCGTGACCAGCGCGACCCACAGCACGGCCTCCAGAAGAAGGAGAAGTAGCGGCGAAGAAAAGTAAAAGGTCGATTTTTCCGCCGTCGGATACGACTCCCCGGGAGGCTGCAAAGTCATACCCGCGGGGCGTGCGTGGCACCGTAGGGTAGAACCTTTGCAGTCGCCCTGGGGGCAGGCGTCCCGGGGGGCGGAGCAGTAAAATGTTATGCTGTTCTTCGCTGCCTGAGACAAACGGTACTATTAAGCCTCGAACTTATCCCTATCCATAAGCCCTAAGACTGGCAAGCGCAAAGTCAGTAACAGTCTTAGGGATGGTCCCTCACCAACATCGACATCGAGATGAGGCGATGCCAATCGTAGAACTGGGGATATGTTCCAGGCAAATAATCCACACAAGAACACTCGGAGTTCCGCGCGGATGCCTTCGGTCGGCGCCGGGCCCCCTCCCTCGCGCGCGGGGCGCGGCGGGGGCGGAGGCGCAGCCAAGGGGCCCCCCAAGCGCAGATCCAAGACATCCGTGCGGAGCTCAGGTCACTTGGTGCTTGTGCGGCTGTCTCCGTCGAGCCCTGGACCCTGAACCTGCTTCCCCCAGGACCACGGCTTCATCCAAAGCCGTTTGTCACTGTCTCACTGCCCCTGGGCCCGTGGGAAGCCCCAGGAGCCCGACGACACGGACCACCTCGGGACCCGTCCCCGTCAGGACCAGGCTCCTTCGCGGCGAGGCCTCGTAGGACGCCTCCAGCACCAGCCGCGCCAGGGGCTCCCACAGCACCGCGGGGCTCTGCGACTGCGCCACCGAGCATGCGGTGCAGAACACCTGCGTCACCACCTGCCCGGGGTCGCCGACCAGCGCGCTGCCCCACGAGCGCCCAGTCACCTCGACGCCAGCCTGCACCCCCACGCGCAGCCGCGCGCGCAGGCGGTCGCGGCCCTCCTCCGGCGGAGACCGCACAGAGCATGAGCACAAACCCTCGGAGCTCCGCGCGGCTTCTTGGATCGGCGACCGTGCCATCGCTCGGACGTCCATTCTCCGTGCGTTTGTCGGTTTCGTGCGTGCTTCTGTGGCCAGATCATCCAGTTATGTGCGCGTTTCTTATACCGCGTTTCGACATTGGGCGGAGGGGGGGGGGGAAAGGGGGTCTGTTTAGAACCGTGCGTCCTGTGGGGCATGGACTCCACCTGCTCGAAACAGGCGCAAGAAAAACAGCCAGGATCTGCTCAATCGGGGGGGGCCCGCGCCGATCGGCAAAACAAGGAATAACAAAAACAACCACTGTGCTCCTCAGTGGTCTTTGACATGAAAAATTGCACACGCGTCCGAGCGATGCCGAGCCCCTGGCGCGCGCGCCAGGGAGGGGGGGCGCCCAGGAGTCCGCGCCGAGTTCCGCCAACTGTCGTGCGGATGTCGGCTTTCGGCCCTCGAGCTGAACACATGTTGGGCGCCCGAATTATCTGGGGCGCCCGAGTTTTCTGGGGTGCCTCGGGCCCGGGGTAGCTCGGGCTTGCCTTCCCGAGGAACGAACCCGAGTTGGCCAGGCCCGAATTTCAGGGCGCCCGAATCATCCGGGGTGCCTCGGGCCCGGGGCAACGCGGGTTCGGGTTCACGAAAAACGAACCCGAGTTGGCCCTGACCCGAGTTACCCCTGATGATTTGGGGCTCTGGGCGCCCGAGTGATCTGGGTGCCGCGGGCCAGGGGCAACTCGGGTTCGGATTCCCGAAAACAAACCCGAGTTAGCCCTGACCCGAATTACCCCCTGATGATGTAGGGCTCTGGGCGCCCAGGTGATCCGGGGTGCCTCGGGCCAGGGACAACTCGGGTCTGGATTCCCGAACAACAAACCCGAGTTGGCCCTGACCCGAGTTACCCCTGATGATTTGGGGCTCTGGGCGCCCGAATGATCCGGGGTGCCTCGGGCCCAGGGACAACTCGGGCTCGGATTCTCGAAAAACGAACCCGAGTTAGCCCTGATCCGAGTTACCCCTGATGATTTGGGGCTCTGGGCGCCCCATTTATCGGGGGCAACTCTGCCCAGGGGCAACTCGGGTTCGGGTTCCCGAAAAACGAACTCGAGTTAGCCCTGACCCGAATTACCCCTGATGATGTGGGGCTCTGGGCGCCCGTGTGATCCGGGGTGCCTCGGGCCTTGTGCAACTCGGGTCTGGGTT